AAACCAACAACTATTATCTGAGTCTGTTTAGTTCCAATTGGTTTTGACAGAGTAGTTTTGATCATGGTTTTCTTTCATCTACTTTTAGCTATAAAATCAAACCTAGCTGAATTTTTGGTCTTTTTAAACTTTTTACTGTAGCGGGTCATATTTTTAATATATGTCATCTGCAGCAGAAAGACCTACATGTTTTACATTTAAAAGTAATTAATTGTCCTTTCTACAAACTCGGCTGTATTTTTACTGAAATATATTTATTCACAATTCACGTAGTGGTTTGGATTTTGGTTTGGTAATTTGATGTCATAATTCTCCTCATTATCAGATTTTGACATTGGCAGCTTTGATCAAGACAAGAGAGTCCTTGGACGAAAAATCGTAGTTCGGGTTTTAGTTTTAAAGCACAAAGAGATTAACAAATCTGATGCACAGTGTTATTCGAACGTTGATGTTCGATCACACAGGTCATATATCGGACGGTTTCGGCGAAGACAGAACAATATAATATTATTAATGTCTTTTATGGTCTTGGCATTGGCTTGGTCGGAAAACGGTTAATAAATAATAGTAAATAGTGTAGAACTCCGAGCAATTACTAATAGAGGGAGCGTGAAAACGAGTTTGTAGGCGATTGTTGTGTTAGCAACATCTGTAGAGGAAGTGAGGAAGCGGGCACAAGGGGGAAGGTAAACATCCTTCTTGTTCAGTGGCGTATCATTTATCTATAAAAACACACATTGTCCAAACGTTTTAATTGTAAAAAAAAACTAAAAAATTTGCTAATTTTACTATATTTAAAAATAATACCGTCTTATATGTGTCTAATGCAGGAAATGAAACAAAATCACTGTAACGGTCTAATTTTTTCAATTGAAGAATAAAACCTTAAAATCAATTTTATTATAAATAAATACAGTAGCGACTAGTTTCGGCCTTACAGAAACATCTTCAGGCCTGTATACAATAATCTTTAATTATTATAATAGGTTGGTCACTTACGAATAACATTAAATAGTATAAACCACAAAAATGGATCCATATTGTAGCGTTACAGCATTATAAAATTAAAGCTGTGAAAATAAAAGAGCAGTGCAAACGTAACTAAAAATAAGAAAACTGAGTACGGAATCTACAAGAGATGAGAATGAGCAATTACGAATGCATTTAAATTGCTCGGGATAACAAATAAAGCTGATAATGTAGTGGTATAGTCCCCGTCAAAGAAGGTCTAGATATGTTAAAGAGGACGGCGTTTTCTCTGTAAATCTGGAGAATGTAAAGATGAAGGGAAGACGAATCTTGCTGGCTTAGGTGTAGATGAAAGCTCCAGTAAATATCGTCACTTTCGTCTAATTTTTTATTCTCTCTCACCGTCACCGTTTCGGCTTTATCTTCGAAATTCATTTTTAAAAGGAAATAAAAGTAATCATTCATACAAGCATATAATAAAACAATATGAATTAATTATATTTAATAAGCTAATAAACGTTTGTTTCAATGAAAAAAAAACATATATGGGAATATAAGAAATATATAAATAGATAAGATTAATATCAAAATCAATTTGAAAATACAACAGATAATGAAATGAAATAAATTAATACAAGTACAAATGGAAAGTTAATAACATACCTTCTAAAAGTATAACATTTTAAGTAGATATATGTTTAAAGAGTTTATTCCTGAACATAACTAATCTAACGTTTTTTCCTCTTTTTAATATTATGAGGGTTTTTGTAGTGGAAATGAAAATTATAATTTATTTTGGTCCTAATAAAAATTTAAACATAGGTTATCAAAGAGTAAAATACATAATAAAACTTCATAATCTTAAATCGTTATCAAAAATTATTAATGGTAAAACTTCAAACAATAATTAGATTCTTAAACAAATTTTTAGTTTTTTGCCTTCATCGGTTGTCTCTGCCACTTTTCTTTTAGTAGTTTCGAGGAGAATTTTCCTATGGAAACTAGTAGAACCATCAATTGATTGGTAAAATTTTGATATTTTGAGTCTTGTTAAATTTTCTTCTTAGGAAGCTGTAACCTAATGGAGAACAAAAATTTAATGTTAGATCAAAAGCTCTTAATTGAGAATTATATTTGCAAAGGCCGTTTTAATAATATATTAAAAAGTTCTTGGAATCGTTGTTAACAGAAACCTGCAAAAAATATATATCATTTTATTCCTAAAATATAAGATATCACACAATGCACATTCATATAATATCATTGTGCTAGAAAAATACTAGGTAGGTACGGAGACAATTTAAAAAAAGTATTTCGAGAAACTCAACTTTTAATGTCATCATTGTACTTAACTTTTTTATTGCTAAATTATTAATAATGTCGTTTTGTGTAGTTCGTTGTGATTTGTATAATATATATTATAAAAACCTATCGTCAAAGGTAATGTGCCAAGTTTTTTTAATAATTATGTCCTTGTTATAGTAATAACACATTTTTAAAGTTTTCTGGATTTATGCTTTAAATTATTGTACAATTGAACTGACTAAGTGTTTAAGTAAAGGTATATCTCTTTTTTGTTATAACAGTCTTTGTATATTGTTCTAACTTTTTAGATAATCAGAGAAAACAGTAAGACATCTTAATATATCCTATTTCACCACCAAAAATGTAGAATAATTAATCTCATATCAAACGAAAAAAAGTCATTTTAGGATGTCCTAATAGGTTTTAACTTAAAAACTAAATAAAATGTATATTGCAACTGTGTTTAAATAAATGAATGTTTTTATACCTGACTATAGTACCAGACAAACATTTTTTTAGATCATAATGATCTGCATAACTCAAAATAGTCAAAATCCACATTATTTAAGTTGTTCTAGTATTGTTTTAGCATAACGATGTAAACTCCAATAATAAATATTCACATTTTTTTGGGACGTTTTTTAAGGAAATTAAAAAACATGAATAATGTGATATTCTTGTTTAGTATTGTACTATATAATATAGTTCATTAGGCAGTGATTTAGAAGCAAATTATGTTCTATTTATAGAATAAAAAATCACTCATAATATCTAAATATTTATACCTATTATATTTTGGACAGGAAGACTATTTTATGTTCCTGGCTCTCAACAGTTTTCTTAAGAATTTTAAAACCTTCCTTAGCTCTTTTGGGATATTCCATGCATATCTTAGAAGTTCATTTTGTTTAAACCTAAAACAAATTAAGTACAAAAAATGAAAATTTAAACAATACACAAAATTAGTCTTTTAGATTATTTAAAAAAAAATGTCAACAAAAAAATGGCTATGCCTTTTTCCTTAAACATTCTTTTTGAAATAAACTTACTTGCTGTTTTAGTGTTTTAGTAGCAGATGAATATAGTGTAGAAGTAGTGGCAGGATTGATTATTGTACTTCTTTCGTCGAAATTGCATTTTTCTTTAATATTTTCCTCCCCTGAGGTCTATAATAAAAATGTTCATTAGCATAAAAGGTTATTCAGGTGGTCACTTGTTGAATTCCTATATTTTGGAACCATGTATTTCTTTCTCATATCAAGAAAAGGAAACCTAAAAAAATAACAATAAACTTTACAAAGATGTGATATTAAAATAATAAGTAATTAACCTTTACTATAATCATTATGAGATAGACGGATGAAGACGAACTTAGCTGGAGTTTACTTGCCCTTAATTTTAATTTTTCGATAAGCAAATAAGAAAGTTTAATTGCAAATTAAAGGTGATTGCCTAATGCACCGCCTCTGATAATTAGGTTGTGTCTGTACTTACTTATGACTTTATCTTGAAGAAGCATTTTCAACAGGCCTTTTACACATAACGCATGTTTTTACCATATTATTAGAGATAATAAATCTTAAATATACATTTACAACCCTTACAACGTTATAAATAATAATATTTTCCGTAAAATACAAATAAGAAATTGACATGTGTCAGAAAGTGTCAGAACTGGCGCTCACAGAACACTTCTGGCGCTGTCAAACTTGGCAACGCTGATTAAATAAGCCAATTACAGAAGAGGTATTTTCCCCCTCGGGGGGAGTTGATGTTGCTAACAAAATTTAGCGTGGGGAAGGGGCAAGACTCCCTCTAGTAGTAATTGCTCGGAGGTGTAGAAGTCATAATTGCGCAATGTCATCAAATTAATTTCGAATCGATCATGTTGAAACAAATCTTAGGTAAGTAAGTCATTTAAAAGTTGTAATTCTGCATACGGACTTTAATTATATTTGAATACGACCCTGCTTAGTCAACCATTTAAGCCACGCTCAGTGGGGTCATTTTTAATAAAACGTATCATATGCAAAAGAATTGCCTCATGGCATCTCCATTAGTATTATACCCACTGATCTGTATCAGATCAGTGATTATACCTCCATGATCGAGAAGTAACTCTGTAATATTTATTGGTTTAGGCAACTGAACATACTTTTCGCGACTGGTGCGCCAACTGGCATAGAAAATATTGATTATCATGGTATCCAAACGTAAAAGAGGACCGTTGGGTGCAGCACCTCCCGGTGCCCTCTGAAATTTTTAAGCAATGTTCAATTTTAGAAAAAACTACTTACTTTTTTTAAAAATGGTAAATACACAAGTTGTTCAGTGGCAAATGAAGAATGACGAATGATAACATTTATAAATATATGACTTTTTATATTTTTTTTTATTTTATTTTTTATGAAAAAAAAAAAAGTTATCATGCGCCAATCTACGATGCATAAGAAGCTCGGATACAAAAAAGAATTTTTTTTGGTGAGTATTAAGACCGCAATTTGAATATTAACATTTCCAATATGGCGGACGGGTATAGAACCTTCTTAAGTCTTTCAGTGTTGTTTTTGAGTCTAAATTCAGAATCTCTTCTCCAATTTTGAAAATTACATTCGGTACAATCAAAAAACGAAATATTTGTCGTATGCGGGGCTCTTAACCTGTTTTCTATATTTTTTAAAAATTTTAGCGAGTAAGGTGCCAACTGTACGCTGAAGAATAAAAAAGACCTTTTAAACTGTTTATTTATATACAACAATAAATCATTCATTAACAATTATATTTAATGTTTTCTGTGTAATCGCTATCGGATAAAATTAAAGGGTATTTTGACGAAATCACATAAATGATATAGAACAACCATGGATAAGTTGTCGGAGTTCACACTAATTACGGGTAGGTATTGACCTTAGTGGTTTTTTACCACTCGGTCTCCATATTAATAAAATGATGTACTTTTTCACAATTGGAAGAAACAATTTAAAATAGTTTAAGTCACAAAATCTAAGGAAACAATGAAACAGTATCGTAAATAGCTTTTGCCACATAATACACATTACTTGAGTTTAATCCAGCTATACTCATTCTTCCTGATGCTAACATATAAATATGATATTTATTTACCATATATTCAACTTGAACAGGAGTTAATCCAGTATAAGAAAAAAATCCAGAATGTTCAACAAGATGATCCCAATTCCCAGGTGTCTCCAAATGGTCTAAAATCTCTTTTAATTGCTTCCTCATGAGTAGAAGTCGAGAAGACATTGTTCTAACGTTATCTTGCCATTGGTTGTACATGGTAGAATTATTGAGAACATAAGTAACAATTCTCGCACACAGTCCCGGAGGATTTAAGTACATTCCATTCACTATATATGTTATTTGAGATTTAATAGCAGGTATTAAGTCTGGATTGTTGACAACAATAGTCAAATTCCCTATACGTTCATTATACAGCCCGAAATTTTTTGAAAAACTTTGCGCGCAGAAGAGTTCAAAGCCTAATGATACGAACAGCCTTATTGAATACGCATCACTTATCACATTACCAGTTACGAAGCCCTGGAAGGCGCAATCAAAAAATGGAAATAACCTTCGTTTATGTATTATGTTTGCAATTTTACTCCATTGTTCAGGAGTAGGATCAACACCAGTAGGATTATGAGCGCACACATGTAAAATAACAACTGCATCTTGAGGTGCTTTGTCTAAATCGTCTATTAGACCTTCAAAGTCTATGCGACGCGTAGTAGGATTCCAATAACGGTACTCTCGACATTCTTCAAATCCCGCTTGCAAGAATAACCTTTTGTGATTCTCCCAAGTTGGGTTAGATACGTAAAATATTTTCTTTCCCATTTTTACAAGGAATTCAGCACCAATTCTTAATGATCCCGTTCCAGATATACTTTGAATTCCACAATACCTTTTCTGAATAATGGCTGGGGAATCTAACCCTAGCAACATGGTGGTTGCAGAAGTACTAAAAGTTTCCAATCCTAAAGTTGGCAAATATTCTTTATTCAACGATTCATCATGAGATAGTATTTTTTCAAGAGATTTCACTACAGGAAGAACCCACGGTTTTCCTTCGTCTGTCCGATAAGCACCAACGCTCAAAAACACTTTATTTTCAAATTTATCTTCTAAATAGGCTTTTTTAAGATAAAACATTTCTACTGGTTCACCTAATTCAACTTCACTAAAAACAGACATCTACCTATAAATTAGTTTAAAGAAGCTTGGAATCAATAGGTGATTTTAAAATTGTAGACTTTTATTACTTATCAAAATGACGCAAGCTGTCACATAATAAATCAAGAAGCAGAACGTAGAAACACCCTTATGGTGCGTTTGATTTGATCATCGGAGATCTCCGAGCGCTTCAAAAGTGTTTGAATTGACACTCCGAGAGATCCCTAAAGTGTTTGTTTCGCTTTGGAGCGAGAACATAGAGCGAGCTTGATGTTCTCAGAGCAGAAAGATCGAGAAGAGGGAGAAATTTGTCTTTGTCTCTACCTATCTCTTTTTAATTACAAAAAGGTAAATCAAACAAGGGTGGTCCTTAGGATCTCACAAGAGTATTTTATTAACGACCGGTTTCGAGGATCAAATCCTCATCATCAGGTAAGGTCTAAAAATAGAGAGGAAAAACGAATGAGCTCATAACTAATAAGTGGGTTTAAACATTTTAATATGAAAGTTGTCAAATATCAAGAACTCACCCGTAATTACTTATCTATTTAAGACTAAGCTAGTAGAATTATCCCAGGGTCGGTGTAAAAACAAGTATGCGAGTATTTTTTAAAATACATAAAAAATATAAAAAAAAACACAATAGTTGCAACAAAAAGTTGATGTCAAAACACATAAACAAAAGTAGGTCTAAAACTATTAATAAAATTATTAAAATATTTCACGTACGGACAAACAATTAAGACAAACAAATTTAAAAATTTTTTAAAAACCCTACAAGCACTAAAATGGGTTCTTGGACAAGTGTTTATAATTCTACAGGAATTAAATTTTATTTAGATTAATAACTGATTAACGCCCTCAAGATATAAATATTCTATTTATATATCTATTTATATCTTGAGGGCGTTAATCAGTTATTAATCTAAATAAAATTTAATTCCTGTAGAATTATAAACACTTGTCCAAGAACCCATTTTAGTGCTTGTAGGGTTTTTTAAAAAAGTTTTTAAATTTGTTTGTCTTAATTGTTTGTCCGTACGTAAAATATTTTAATAATTTTATTAATAGTTTTAGACCTACTTTTGTTTATGTGTTTTGACATCAACTTTTTGTTGCAACTATTGTGTTTTTTTTTATATTTTTTATGTATTTTAAAAAATACTCGCATACTTGTTTTTACACCGACCCTGGGATAATTCTACTAGCTTAGTCTTAAATAGATAAGTAATTACGGGTGAGTTCTTGATATTTGACAACTTTCATATTAAAATGTTTAAACCCACTTATTAGTTATGAGCTCATTCGTTTTTCCTCTCTATTTTTAGACCTTACCTGATGATGAGGATTTGATCCTCGAAACCGGTCGTTAATAAAATACTCTTGTGAGATCCTAAGGACCACCCTTGTTTGATTTACCTTTTTGAACTTATAACTCACACATGGCTACCACCTTCAACTTTAATCTTTTTAATTAACTTACAAACAAATTTGAATCTCAAAATTAAAGACCAGACAAGAAGTCAACAAATTACTTAGCCGCTTTTGTCTTATAGCTAAAATAATTCAACATAAAAAAACACAAAATGTGTGTTTGGAAAATACATTTTTTCTGTCCAGATCTAATCACCAGTAATTACAGTCATGGAGTAGGAGAGCGAAGCGGGCATTTGTGGTAAATGCTGCATTTCAGGGCCATTACCCCTTATTATTAAAAGTTTTTCCATTTTCTTTAATTTTTGCTCACTATTTTAACATACAAACCAGAAACAAGAATCACAAAAAAGCGAGGTTATGTTTTTTACTCTGTTTTATTTGATTTGATTCAATGCTCTATTGTGACGTAATCATTTCTCGGTCTCCTCGACGCTCGCTCGATCGAGTTTCAAATCAAACGCCCCTTTAGAGATGTTTAGGCATTTTCTAATATTCATCGATGCCATCAAGCATTCATCAAAACTATTCTTTTATCCTTCAAAAATTTTTAGATGAGTCATACATCAAATTCTTAAATTCTAATTTTCATAATATTTATACATTTTTAGATAGTTTAGATATTCCAAAAAATTTTATAAAACCTGTTACACTTTTTGATGTATTGTTTAAACTTCTGTCTTTCGGTAATGTTAAAAAAATATCAAAATTTATACAAATGTCTAAAATTAAGCTGTAAAATATTGTAATTATTTACCTGTTGTTACCAAATGGCTGTATCATCTTAGCTATGTAGGCCAATAAATTATAAAAAAAAAACCTAATTCTCAGATGGTTGTCACCAAATCCATCTACTCAAATATGTTGATGTACTGATGGAACACGTGACATAACCTTAAATTATTAATTATATTAAAGAGAGAAGAAAATAGAAAAGGTTCGCCCAAAATTCTTATAATATCTGCTTTCGATTTGCATCAGAATCTCACTTCCTTACTTCACTTGTCAATTTCTCAGTTGCTGGTGCGTTCTATTTGACTAGAAGTGAGGAAAAGCAAGTGAGAAATGTACCTCCCCCACATACTTTGATTTTCTTTTACTATACGGAGAATGGTCGCACTGCGCAGCTTTCTGAGTGCCTTTTAAAAGGAGATAGAAAACTCCGCCATTTTAAACCTTTATTACGTGTTGCCTACATCTTGGCGCAATATTTTTATTGGGTGCGTTTTAATCATCCGCTTCTGCTTCGGAATTGTCGGTTTTCTTGTTTTAATCTGACAGGTTAAAACGACTAAACCGACAATTCCCGAAGCAGAAGCGGATGATTAAAACGCACCTGATATTTTGCTTGCTGCTGTCAGTGTCAGTCACATACTTTGATTTTCTGTGTAAGTGAATATTATTTTTGAAGTCACAGTTTATTGCTAAAGAATCAGTTAGCTCACTCGAACCAGTTAAAAGTTCCAAAATAATATCCACTCCAGGGATACAAATTCAGGATACGCAGAAGACTGCTGTTTTATTATAGGCGGTTGTCATATATTGTATTATCCGAGTTGCACAGTGTATAAACTGTAACATTGAGATCCAAAGTGCCGACGCAGAGTGAGCGATCTGATTCTTTAGCTGTAAACTGTGTCACAGGGTTCAAAATGGCCGCGCCCTATGTTGGGCGTGTCGGACCTCTCTCTTGCCTCGTATAGTAATCAAAGTATGTGGATCTACCAATGACATATAGCATATATAGACTGCTTATTCATATGTAAATAAAGCGATGAAAAGCGGGTCGAACTGGGAGATGTTTTCTCTTTGTCTAGTACATGCAATGTTTGTGTTTTGTCTCAATTGTAAGTGCTCACTGGTAAACAAACCTTATACAGAACCGGTTTAGAAGAAAGTTTAGTTTAATTGAAATTTTGTTGTCACTGTCATTGCTCAGTCGAACATTTTTTTGAATTATTCATTTTATTAAATTTTAATTATACTTATGTTCTGTTTTAAGTTTTTTTAATTAATTGAATATAAAAATTTGTTTTGTTTTTGAATTTAAATGGTGAATTGCTGTATAAACCTGCTCTATAAGATAAGCTACAGAAATATAGAAAGTAACATTTTATTTTTCACGTAAGTATCAATACAAGGTACAAGGTAAATACATTTATGAATTATAATAATTAATTATAATAATGATAATATTAATAACAAATTCTTTATTGTAAATACAATTACATAAATATAAATATTATATTCAGAGGCCCGAGTTTTTTTTTTCTCCTGGGCTCGTCTGACTATGTGTCTCCGAATAACACTGAAGCCCATTGGCTTATTGTGTTTTACCCCATGTTAGTTCATAGCACCCACTCTGTCACCTTTGTACCTTGTACAAGTTTGTACAGATCCTTGGGTTAGTGGGTTCTATACGTTGTTGGATCAACCTGGGGTTGTCCAAAAAGAGCCTGTCTTTTGCGATCTAGAGCTTCGCATTCACACAGTATTTGTTTGGCCGTTTCTGGTTTCTTGTAACATAGTCGGCACATGAGTTCCCCATTGTACATGCCAATTTTGTTTAAGTGTCCCTTTACTGGGGCGTGCCCAGTCATGAACCCTGTTATCACTTTCAACTGGTTTCTATTCATTAAGAGTAGTTCTCCAGTTAAGGCCCGAGTTAGAGCTAGCTGGGCTTGACAAGTAGATTTTAAAAGTTTGGTTAGTTACAAAGAAGTATTGTAATAGAAAAACTCAATATAAATAAAACAAAATGGGCATAAGTAACAAAACAGAGAGGCAAACACTGATTTACGTTTTCATTCTTCGAAGAAACCATACCAAATATCTATTTTCTGAGTCGTTTTTTCCATGCAATCATGCTTAGATAGTTCATACTGTCAAGTAGTTTATTGCATAGCTCTATCCCTTCAGACATTATAGTATCTAACTCTTTTTCCTGCTAGCTGTTTTCATTGCAGCCGCTCTGATGTTCCTACTATTCCTCACATTGTACGAGTAGTTATGATATAAGTCACATTTAGTGAAACGAATTAAACGTTGGAGTGGGTTGTATTGTTTTGCAGTTGTGGATGTAGAGGCGATTGAAAAACGTGAAGATTTTTATATAACTTTATTTCAACCGCGAACTACTAACAAGTTAAATATTCTCATTTTTTAAGTTTTATTTTAAATTTCTTAATATTAAATGAGCCGACATGTTTTTAAGATTTGACGACTTAAATTATTCAAAATACGACACTTACTTACTTAAATAGAATATGTAAAAAAATAGATGTAATTTTCTGAATCAATTTTGTGCATAATAAAAAAGTTTTCAATTTTTTGCAAACTTTAGTATTACCCAGAAAGAACTCCGATAGCTTTGTAAAGAGCTAGCACGCCTTAAATTCTACTCTATTTACGCCGACAGATGAAATATGTCTGACAAAAAGGATTATATCCTTAAAGAACTCTGTTTTGTAGCTCCTAATTCTGCATTAGAAAAACATAAGTAAGCTGCAAGCTATAAGTAGTGCGAGATTATTAATCATGTGTGTAAAAGAGACATTTTAAATTTAAATTAGAAAGAAATAAAAGAATTTGTTAGAGGGTTTAGCATGTTAATAATGATCTTTATACTTACACTAAAGACACTCCAAAAATGATTGTAAACAGATAAAGTGAAATTTTATTCATA